TTCCACTATTAGTACTATTAGTATTAATATCTTATACTTTCCTTTCATTATTTTTGTATTATTAAAGTAGTTTTAATTTCCAACCCATAAGTCTCTCTCCCTTTTCTCTGTCCTTTCCCCTCCTGGGGGGAGGGAGGGGGTTAATAGAGAGCGTCTGCCGCCCGTTTTAAGTGCCGGCCCAGCCTTAAACGGTGACAAGTCTCATGACTGAAGCTTGCTTAAAGTAATGAAAAATAGAAAAATGATAACTCTTCTCAAAGAAGGAATTAAAGTGGCTAACTAACGGTGCCAATCAATGTCAGCACTGAGATTTTTCTGTTGGGAAGAACAGGGTTATTCAGTCATGTTAAGTATGCTTCTTTTGTGAGTGAGAATATAAGGCATCTGATTTAAAAACAGAGTTGTTAGATGCTCCATAATGATGAAATTTGTTAATATATAGGCTTACATCTAACCGTTCTCGTTAAATGTGCTTGGCACAATAGAACAGCGAGCACTGCTACGCTGCGATGGCTTTCTCGTAGAATCTGGTTACGCAAGTGGCCTATGACCAAAGTTTATTTTAGCAGAAGATAGGTTACCTTGTCTTAAAGTTCAGGTTTTTGTACTCTTCTCTAGGACTTGCCTCTCATGTTTTGGGGTAGGGCTCTCTCTTACTTAGTATTTCCTACATCAAAAGCTTCTGGGCTAAATAACATGTTATCTCCTTGTGCAAATCTTTATCCTGTTTTGCTACGTGATTGTGGTTGTGGGTACAAAGCATCTAGATTGCTTCTAAATCCTTTTGTGAACGATCATACCCTTCTCACTATAGGTGTTGGGCTGAGCTCTGTTACTTGTTTTCATCTTGCCACCTTAGATCACAAAATATGCCTGAGTATGCCACAGCACCTCTCTCTTTTAGTGCAGTATGTAAAATTAACGTCCAGTGTGAGGAATATGTAGTATTTTGTCTGTTATGTTTTCTTGGGATTGCACAACTGGGCTTTCAGAGAAGACCATCTCCCAGTCCAAAATTTTTAATCTTGTCGGATTTAGAAGCATGGCTTTACAACCCAAAGTAAAGCTGCAGATGTGTCTGCTCTAGCAGAAGCACTTGATATATCTAACTAGAGCAGGAAAGAAAAGGTACAGAAAAGCAGGAGGAAAAAAAGTGTCCTGTGGAATTTGATCAGTCTAATCAAAACCTGAATTGAGATGGAAAATACTCTTGCTAATGCTTCTAGTATGGCTTTTTGTTAGTGACCCAGTGACTCTATAAAGCTTGTTGGATCTGTTCAGGGGATTGAAATGAAGAAAGTTCACTCAACAAATTAGTTCCTGTTAAGCAGGTATTCTTTATTAGCAGCGCTGGGGTCGCACTGGGGATTCTCCACCGTAAGTGCTCCCAACAACTGGTCGTTCTGGTGTTGCTTATATTTACAAGGGTGTTGCATATTAATTTCCTAGACAAAGAAATCCTTAACATAAGGTACACCTTTTCTTAGAACTAATTAAATGTACATGAGCTAATTATTCAGCGATTTTGCTGCCATCCATCGTCCTTCTGTGTGCATTACAGTATCTCTGGTGGTTGTTTACTTCCTCCGGTGATCTTTTCATAGTCTTCATCACTTGTCCTTTTGCTGAACTCTTGCTGTTGGCAGTTTCTTGGGCGTGCGTAGAAAATAGAGGCTTACATAGATAGTTTGTTATCAGAACCTCACAGTGAATCATTCTGTCTTTCTCCTGACACTTGTTAGTTCTTAGCTAGTTTTCTAATCTACCATTTTGTCCTTCACGACTTGTTTTAACATTCTTTCTCTATCTACATATTTCAGTAATTATTTAGAAATCACAAAGGGCATGCTTTTGCAAGTCCTTTTCAATATCCTCTTTTCAATAAACTTGCAAGTTCTTTCGCAAGTAGTTCAACTTATTGGTGTTTAATTACTGTGGGTAATGCCCAAATTCTTTCGGTTAGCCTTTTTAATTGTACCAGAATATAAAATTTACCACTGTCAATACTGCAGTGATTACTGACAGTACTAATATTGGATGAATTAGAATATTCAAAACTTTGGCAGCTGTTGGGGAGTAGCCTACGAACACATCCCACCAATGGTGTTCTCCTCCTGCTTTTAGTTGCTCCATTATTTGGTGTATTTTCTCTGCATCATGGTGGACAGTAATTAGAGTTTTTCGTCCACTTTCTTGAGTCAGTTTTATCAGTTTTGTTACTTTCATGATGCGGTAGTTTTCTAACTAGGGTAAGGTTCATTCCAATGGGGATAGGCTGTAAATTTTGAACCAGCATGTACTTAGACTGTCACAATTGGTAAGAAGTTACAGGGGCTGCATAATTAAAGTCACATCCTTCAAGCTTAGAAAAATTACAAATACAAACATTAGAATCTACAATAAGGTCATCTATCCATACAGAATCACAGAGTTCTTATACAAACAGATCCTCTACCCATATGGATAATTACAGTTTCCAGAGTTTCATTTGGATGTGTTTCAAAGCGGCAAATGTTTTGCTCAGTGTCGAGACAAATATCCTGGGCTTTGATAGTATTGCTTTCACAGATAAATCCTTGTCGTTCTCGCACCGTACAAGCTTCAACGTCCACTGTTTACCATTTATCTCTGTTTTTCTTAGGCCATACCCTATGTTCTAGGGGATAAAGCACAGTTCCGTAGTGATTTGATCCTAATGCAATGATTGGATATATATTAAATACCAAAGCCTTGTATACAGCCACAGCTTTTGTGTTAACAATATAGGTAGTAGGATCAAAAGTAAAACTAACTAAATGCCACCAGGATTGAAATTCCCTCTCAAGTTCAGTTGCATTATTCCAGATTACTTTCTGGATTTCTCTGGGTAGGATACCTTCATCGCCTTCCCTGATGATTGCAGCTGTCATTGAGCTTGGGTACAACTAAATGCTATTAAATATTTTTGTAGACTCATTTCACCTACTTGGTTGAGATCCTCTCCTTGATATTGAGGTTGATAAGGTCTACCAAACAGTATTTCAAATGGGCTTAAGTTTTTCTTTGATCTAGGTTTTACTCTGATTCTGAGTAGGGCAAGTGGGAGTGCTTGATTCTATTGTAAATTTGCTTCTTGACTAATTTTAGCCAATGGTTGTTTTATTTGGTGATTCTTTTTCTCAACTTGTCCACTTGCTTGTGGCCTATATGATGTGTGTAATTGCCAGTTAATTCCCAAAATATTACTAACTTGTTGTACTATTTGTGCACAAAAGTGAGTACCTCGATCTGAGGAGATCACAGCCAGCACCCCAAACCGAGGTATCATTTCATTTAACAATACTCGAGTAACCTCTCGGGCTTTGTTTGTTCTGCGTGGGAGTGCTCCTGGCCAACCTGAGAATGTGTCAGTTAGTACCAATAAAGAGTGATACCCCCTTTTTCTTGGGAGTTCGGAAAAATCAATTTACCACTGTTGTCCAGGTATATTTTCTTTCCCAATTACTCCTATTTGTATTCTATTTGTAGTGTTTAGATTATTTTTCGAACAAATCTCACATTGTTATGTAAACTGTTTTATCGTTGTGTACAAATTTTGGCTTATTGTTTTCTTAGACAAATATTTATACAATGCATCTGTGCCCCAATGAGTTTTGTGATGTTCTTCTTTGATCATTTTCCATGCTACATTGAAAGGAACTATTATCCGTTTATCAGGAGTTATATACATTCCTGACTCTTTATCTACCTTACCCTCTAAGTCTTCTATCCAAATCATGTCCTCTTTGGTATATTTCATTGGCTCACTTGTTATGGCAGTTTTGTCATCTGGAATTAAAGCCAATGCCTCTGTTTCTGTTGTCTGCTCTGCTGCCTGTCTGGCTTCATGATCAGCCAATTTGTTCCCAATTTCTTGTTCAGTGTTACCCTTTTGATGCCCCCTACAGTGCATAATAGCAACCTTTTCTGGTAATTTTATAGCTTTTAACAATTGTAAAACTTCTTTGGCATGTTTGATTTGTTTCCCTTGTGCGGTAAGCAGTCCGCTTTCCTTCCAAATTGCGCCATGGGCATGGACTTTTCCAAATGCATATTTAGAGTTCGTCCATATAAATATTAATTCTCCTCCCTTTTGACAGTTCCAAGGCTCGTATTAGAGCAATTATCTCAGCCTTCTGGGCAGATGTTCGTGCTGGCAATGGTTTAGCTTCAGTTACCTTACGAGTGGTAGTTACAGCATAACCAGGCTTACGGATTCCTTGTTTTACATAGCTGCTCCTGTTGGTAAACCATGAGTCTTCAGCATCTTCTAACGGTTCTTCCTTCAAGGGGGCCTACTGGAATACACAGCTTCCATAGTCTCCAGGCAATCGTGGATCACAGGTTCCGAGGTCTTTCCACTGAGGAGAGAGGCTGGATTCACAATGTTAATGGTGACAATATTAACATCATCCTGTTCTACTGGAGTGGCTTGGTATTTCAGGAATCGAGATGGAGAAAGCCAATGACCTCCCTTTTGTTCCAATACTGGTGAAACCGTGTGAGACCCTAATACTGTCATCTTCTGACCCATGGTAAACTTAAGGGCTCTCTGTATGTTAAGAATGACGGCTGCAACAGCTCTCAGGCAGCTCGACCAACCTTTGCTTACTTCATCCAATTGCTTAGAGAAATAAGCAACCGCCCACCTATAGGGTCCTAGTTGTTGTGCCAATGTTCCCAAGGCTATACCTTGTTTTTCATGAGAGAACAACCAGAAAGGTTTTGAAACATCAGGGAGGCCTAAGGCTGGTGCTTTCATAAGTGCATCTTTTAGTTGTTTAAATGCTCGTCTGGCCTCATTAGACCACATCAGCTTTGAGGGATTTTCTTTTAATAAATCATATAAAGGTTTTACCAAAAGTCTATAATAATATATCCACAATCTGCACCAACCATAGTTCATGCCAAGAAAGGTTCTAAGTTCTTTTACCATTTGAGGTTCCGGGTTTCTGCAGATAGCTGCTTTCTGTTCTGTTCCAAGCTCACACTGTCCTCCCGAGATCTCAGATTTGAGATAGGTCACTTGTGACTGAATCAGCTGGGCTTTCTGCTGGGAAACTCGGTACCCCCTTAGTTCCAAGAAGTTAAGCAGGCTTACAGTTCACTGTATACAATCCTCTTTCGTCTCTGTGGCAATGAGAAGATTATCTACGTATTGTAACAGGGTTCCACTTTGTGATGGAGGGCTCCAAATTTCGAGTTCTCGGGCAAGCTGATTTCCAAAAATAGTG